GACAGAGTCCTGACTTCTCGAGCCTAGGAGACGGGCAGGAAAGTCAAACAGAAGTCACAAGACAACCACAGGTCAATTCACCTAGTGTGGGAAGCAACGGGGAAAACACTACAAGTTCCCCAGGTCCGAGAAGGTCGCTAAGGGTCAAAGGCCCTCCCAAATACCTTGCAGATTACGTAAGGTGAGCATGTAAATAGCAATAACTGAACTAGAGGTCCAGGCTGGTTGACTCTACGGAAACGATGTTGGGGCCATTGGGTCTCTGTACGACGGAACAGCCCCACACCTTACACACACTGTGTGACATTAACTCAACAGCTAATTATATAAACCATTACTATGTTGGCGTCCATGTGGGCACAGTATTATTTCATCTAGGGGGGAGGGGTGTTGTGTCCTGAGCCTGCAAAAGCAGGCTCGGGACGTTGCAAGAGTCCCGGGTATTTGCAAAAGCTGCCCGGGACCAGACTGAGTGGCGCCAGCCTTGCGCGCATGCGCAAGGCGGGAAAAGACCGCCTTGTGATTGGTTGGATTTGCCCGGGGATCAGAAGGTATAAATAGAGGCCTGTGTGCCTCTGCTCGGGTTGTTCGTAGATTGGAAGCAGAGAATAAAGACTTGTTAGAAATGCATCGTCTCAAGCGCCATTATTCTCCGGACTTGATAGATAGATAGATAGATAGATAGATAGATAGATAGATAGATAGATAGATAGATAGATAGATAGATAGATAGATAGATAGATGATTGATAGATAGATAGATAGATAGATAGATAGATAGATAGATAGATAGATAGGCAGATAGATGGAATGGAGTGGAATAGAATAGAAAAATTTATTGCCTGCTGGCTGGGACCAACTTGCCTTTGTATTTTGTGCCAGAGGGCTACTGAGGAATGAGGACTACTGGGGGAGGGGGAGGAAGAGGAGGGGGAAAGAACCATACATAGATTTATTATACTATAAATGATGCCCTAATTTTCTTATTCCTATCACATTATTCATGTAATAAACTATTTTTTTCTTTTAAATCTAAGCTGACATGAAGGAAGGAAGGTTATCAAGCTCTGGGACCTTAATTAATTGCTTGGAACCCTTTGGTGGGTGGCTGCTACTGCCTGAAACTGACCAGACTTTAATCAGTTTCACACTGAGGACTTTTGTATAATAAAGGAGCACATTGGTTAGAAAATGATTTTTTTAATTATCATTTTCTATCGTCATATTTATGAACAGTTGCTCTCTGAGACAATTGCTTAACAAGGGATACCTGTATAAATATGTCTTTGATAAGGTATTCCATTCTGATTAAGATAATATTGTGGCCTCAAATGAAATAAGGTTATACCTTTTAACATTTGGGGGGGGGAAATGTTTCAGTGAAAGTATGTGTGACCAATTTTGGTTTTTTTTTCTTTTTATTAAAGCAGTAAAATAAAACCTGTTCAAATGAAATTTATTTTCAAACCGACATGATTACCATCTCACAAAAGTGTTATTGGATATGAATAAATAGTGGCAGATTTCAGCTAGGAAGCAACAGTTCTGATCAAAAGACAGAGACAGTAAAACCTCAATTCACAGATTACAATTCAGTGGACTTGATATACTGTAAACAAATTTTTGCTTAGTTTTACCCTTAAACAATGAACATTGTTTCCAAAATAATAAAGATCATTTATAAAAATACATTATTTGTGTCTATTTCCACTTATACATTTAAGCAAATGCTATAAATTGACACAAAATGATTGACTTCGTTTTAATACAAAAATTCAAATATAATGGGTATTCAACTTAATGGATACCCTTTTCTCCTCAAAATGGTCTGTTAAATTGAAGTTTTATTGTATATTGAAAAAGCAGGTTTGATTACAAGAGATGGTAAGAAATAGTAGATGAAAGATCAGCTGCGATAATTGTTATAATATAAATGTGGTATTTGGGTGAAATGTGAAGAAGGATTAAAGCAGCAGTCCCCAACCTTTGTGGTTTGGCGGGCCGGCTTGGGGGAGGGAGAGGGGAATTAGTTTATGTGAGAAGCGAGCCAGCACACATGTGCATGCACGCACGGCTCCATTTGCATAAGTTGAGCAATGTGCATGTGTACACACAGACCTGGCCAACCTCTTGCACAAGTTGAGCTGTATACATGCACTGGCCCTCTGCTTACGTGACCCGGTTCCGAATAGGCTGTGGCCCGGTAGTGGGCCATGCCCGGGGGTTGGGGACCCCTGAATTAAAGTATTGTTATCTACTTGTACTTGTTTATCTGCCATGTAAAGCTTAAAGAGATTCAGTACCTGACTCAGATCAGAAATGTCCTTATTTCTAAGTTTGTTTTTCCAGAAACCTGACAGCATATTATTCTTGAAGGAAGCACAGTTGAGAAGACAAAGTTATTTTTCCATGCAGTCACCCCTAAGTATTCATATAAAATTTCAAACCTGAAGTTAAACAGTCCCTTTTAGAAATGTGACTTTTGAAAAAAAATTAGTATTGACAGTTAAGAAATGATGTTAACATTTGAGGGCACTGATCAAAGTCAGATCTTAGCTGCACATTCAGATTCCCTGGAGTGGAATTTTCTGGGGTTTTTTTAAGGGGAAAGAGACACACTTGATGTTCAGGCTTGTACATCATAAGTACACATTAGTTAAAAAAGGAGACTTGTGATAAACTGGCTCCATGTTTTCAGGCTAGAACCTGTTTTTTCCCCAAATAAATTAAACAAAATGACTACTACTTATATAACTATTAGTGCAGGTTGTTAAAAAAAAGTCTTTTGATTTGAGCCCAAATTCTGGTGGCTTCATGGACATATTCCTATTATTTTCTTGGCAACAGTTAAAGTAAGGTGTACTTTAATTTAGCACAAAGCAACTGCCTACCTAGATCAATATTTCTCAACCTTTGCAACTTTAAGACATGTGGACTTCAACTTCAATTCTGAGAGTTGAAGTCTACACATTTTAAAGTTGCCAAGGTTGAGACACACTAGCCTAGATTATAAACATAGAACTAGATGCATCCAATTCCTTAAAAAACCACATACAACTGTACAAGCCAAATCATTAAGAAATCATGACTAATTGTACATTTATAAGGAAGTGTGTCTTACTGAATCCAATGGGACTTATTCTTTAGTTTGGGATTACATCCTTTGGTGATTTAATAATCAACTTTTTAGATTTCTTTCAGAAGTACTATTTTGAGAAGTGTATAAGAAACACTAAGAATATTTGCTTTCTTCCAAACTTTGTACCTCGTCCATAGTGCAGCTCTTCCTTTTCCTTGTCCTGGGTACTTTAAGAGTCACTGTGGAAGGACTTCCTTGATGCTTTACTTCCATCTTGTTGGGCTGCAAAGGTGAAAACTGAATTTCCATTTCAGGTTTTGGAAAGCGGCTAATTTGTTCACTCTCAGAAGACACTTCATAAGAATCTAAGACAGCATCTGGTTGGTCCTACAAGTATAACAACATGACATAAAATGGAAAGCAGAAGAAAATACTATTAGATTTGCCCTTAAAATGAGGAGCAAAACAGACAATTTCAGAAAATGATCAGAAATCTCTAAGGAAAAGTGACTCTGTTGCACAATCTATGTCATTGTTCAAATCTTTGCAGTAAGTCTTTCACTGTGATATCAAAAACTTGTCCTATCAAAGGAGAACTCAGTGAAGTACAGTTTTACTGCAGGACAGAACATTGAAAAGCAGCACAGAAGTGCATCAATAAACCTCAAGTGATTTACTCCCAGAAGACCAGTTTCATTTGAAAACTAAACAACTTTCAGTGAAGCAAAATCCAACAGCAAGAAGCAGAATGCTTTGACAGCCTCAATTCTATATCCATATATCTATTCTAGGATTAAATACCATTGGGCAAAATGTCATCTTGGCTAGATAGGCCTTTTTTTAATAATTATCTTGGAATCAGTTTTGACTCCTGCTAACTGTGTGAACCAGTCTCTGCAGTTTTCTTGGCAAGATATTTGAAAATGGTTTGCTATCGCCTCCTCCCTAGGGCTGAGAGAGAATGACTTGCTTAAGGTTATCCAGCAGGTTTGTTTCCTAAAGCAGGCAAACTCACAATCTCCTTGTTTCTAGGCTGAGGCCCTAGCCACTATGCCAAACAAGACGGGTGCTTACCAAAATATTATCTCCTGAAGATACCTTGCTAGACTGTTGCAGTAATGAGCCATTTCCAATAGTGTTGCAATTTGACAAGTTAGCTTGTTTTTCTTTAAGCTATGGAAGAAAGAATTTGACGGGACTTTAAGATCTGCATTGTTCAGAAATGCACATGGTTTTGTTGCCACCAATGGTGTAAGAGGCCAAGAGGAGAAATCTACCGTATTTTTCGCTCTATAAGATGCACTTCCCCCCCCCCAAAAAATGGGGGAAAATGTCTGTGCATCTTATGGAGCGAATGCCGCCTGGAGCTGAAGCCTGAGTGCAGGGGAGGAGAACATATACTGGCCGGGAAGCAAGGAGAGCCCTCCCCCAGGGACTCATTTCAGATTTACGCCGCAAAAGTTTTTCTCGCGCAGAGGAGAGAGAAAAAACAATTGTGGAACACTCGGGAATCCCTTGCAAGGCACCAGGTACCTTGGTGCTTATTTCCTAATGCCTTCCCCCCCCCCCCGTGTTTTCTGCTCCACCCCGAATTCTCCTCCCTTCCAGTCTCCTTAAGCAGCCATTTATGGTCTTAATACAGCCCTCAGTCTGTCTCCCTTTCCACACCCCCTAAAATTCTTCCTTCAGGCAGGCTTCCAGAGGTCGGCTGGCAGGATGCAGGTAACCCCTCCCCCCTGTCCTGCCGCCTCCCACGGCGCCGCTCCGCATCCCGTGCCTCAAGCCCCCGTGTCACAGAACTGCTGGCGTTATGCATGGATGGAAGACTTTTTCTTTTACAAATGGGGCGGGTGGGCCCGACATTCGTGGGCAGGCAGGACCCTGCCCGCCGAGTCGCCGCCTCCCCATCGCCCTCCGCCAGCCGGCTCCGTCGCCAGCCCTCCCAGCTGACAAGCGCAGGAGTTCAGCGCTGCGGCGGCCTCCCCTCCGCCCTCCGCACCGGCCAAAGCTTTGCCTGACGTTCCAGCTGACCGGCGCAGGTCTGGGGGTCGTCAGCCTGCCCACCCCCCTTTCTTATTATATAGGTCAACCGCTTGTCCTCCTCCCACCCCCATTATAAAACAACCAGGTTGTAGCCACAACGTGGTTCAGTCCTTCGAGCGAGCCCGCGACAAACACGACGGAATCAGGCTTCTCAAGTTGTTTTGTTCATTTTCCAGGGTGGGTCATGAGATCAGCAGCCCAAAACTGCAATCATTCCGCTCCTGGTAAAACCGCCCCAGCGTTTCTTCCTCGGCTTCAGCGCTAAGAAACGGGCCGCTTTGTCGCCCATCCGAAAATCGAAAGGAGCCAAAGCTGCGAGGAGAGCCTGTGGCGCAAGCAGCCCAAGGCGCCCCTCCCCGTTTCCTCTGCTCTTGCCAAGCGGGCAGGCCTTCCCCCCATCCAAAGAACGGCTGGGTGGGGTCGGGCGGCGGCGGCGCTGCTTCCTTCACCAGGGGCTTTTCGGGGAGCGCTTGAGCAGCGGCTGAGGAGCAGCGGGGTGATGTGGAGCCGGGGCTCGGACGGCCAAAGCAGCCCCGTTTCTCCCCGGGGTCCAAAAGGTGAGGCACCGGCTTTAGAGTGGAAAGAGGGAAGCCTCGAACGCATGGACTTGCGTCCACACGTGCCTGCGCCAACTGATCAAAAGCTCGGCTTGGGCTGCACCCTTTCTCCTCTGAGCTTTAGGGAGCGTAAGGTTTGGTAGGCTTGTCTAGGAACCGCCGTTAGCTTGTGCTAATATTAACTACCGGTATGTGCGTCTTATGGTCAGGTGCGTCTTATAGAGCGAAAAATACGGTGATTTCTACCATAATAGTGCCCTGATTTCTACCATAATATCCTCCTGCTGGAACAGCACTTAATTGCAACTTTATCCTATTTCAAATATCTTGTTTTGTCAATTATATTAATAACATATGCTGTAGAATTATGGGCTATGTCTGCTTGAGAAAAATGGCACCCGAAGAAGCAATTAAAAAAATTAGTTCTAAATAATGCGTCGGGATATCTGGAATCAAATCCATTCTTTAAAAAAGTTTTACAGCAACTGGAAGTTTGCTGTATCAAAAGAACCAGATAAAGCAATCACTTTCTTCTAATAACTATAAAAACAGTTGGCATAACTAGCAGGCAGTTCCTGACTGCATGTGATTTCCAGTATTATGGCAGCCACATTCAACAAAATATAGGCCATTTGGGGTAATATTATTTTTTTCTTGGGTGGGAATAGGATTGGGAGTCATCTGGAAGGCACACTTCCATTTCCATTTTTATAACCCTCTTATTCTTCCCCCCAAAAATTGCAGGGCCAAGATCTGGCCATTGTGATGCTCAACATTGGCAACACAATTCTGAGCCACTGGAAGAGATTATAAATGTGAGCAGTTTGCCTCCAAAACTATTTACTTTCTGTTTTCTCTTCTCCACAGATCTCCCACTAAAGTAAAAATAAAAAATAAACCCAGCTATATCCTTTTAGTGACATCAGATGTGGTTCCCCTAGTTGATTGCAGGAGTAAATTGAGGCCCTCAAAGCAAAAAATAAAATAAAAATGGTGGGCATTGTTTCTTTTTCACACACACATATTCTTTCAACAACAATAACCTACCATTAATAGTCTTTAATTCAGGAATTTAACCAATTTAACAGAGTACAGGCAAAGAAGAACAATTGCTAAAGACCCTAATAGAAAGAATTGTTGTACTGATTTAATCCTTCTAATCCTTCTCTTCCAAACTAAACATAGTTGAAAGTTAACCAGACACTAGAGTCTTGTTCAATTTAGAGAAACTGCTTCAATATTAGATTTTTAAATGAGTAAGCTCTGGAGTGCTTAGCTCACTGAACTAATACTTCATGCTGGATCAGAATACAAGTAGTACAAGATCAATATTCCATATTGTATATATGTGAGGGTTCAATCCTCAACAAAGATTTATTTTGCTCATTTTAGAAATAACCTATTTTCTGGAAGACAGAAATAGTATTTGCAACCATTAGATTACCTCCTGATTTGCCTTCCTGCCAATAAGTTCTCTTTTAAATTTATTTATAATAACTCTTCTCTTTTTGTGCATTACACTCTTTTTGGAAAGGCTTTATGAAACAAAAAGAAAAAAGTATGCTGCAGGATTAGGAAAAGAGAACAAGGGTCCCCAACCCCCGGTCTATGAACCAGCATTGGGCTGTGGCATGCCAGAAACCGGGCCACACAAACAAGCGAAGTCCCATCCATGGGATGCAGGCAGTACGTAAAACCATGCCCCTCCAGTCCGTGAAAAAAACTCTCTTCACGGAACCAGTCCCTAGTGCCCAAAGGGTTGAGGGCCACTGTTCTAAGGATCTTGGTTTCTTGCTCTACCAACGGCTATGAATTGAGTGTTGGATCACCACTGGAGGAAAAAAACAGTTTATGGTATTAGGCTCTTCAGGAAAGCTAATTATGGGTTTGCTTCCCCTTTCTTATTATACTACAGCGTAGATATTGTACAATCCAGAGCTATAATTCTATGAGCTTCTTATCTATAGAGGGACCTTTGCAAGATGGGCTGGGCCTCTGATAATTCATCCATATGCCTGGTGTTAGGTCCTGAACTCTGATCCAGCTTTATATGTTCTCCAGGACAAACTGTAAGTGAGCATATGAATCATTCAGCTGTTGGGTTTTGCTTGGCTGCTTTGGTTTCGACTCACGGGCTGTTTTTCAACTTACAATCCTAAGTCTTGCAGCATGTTCAGAGATGACTATTTCTGGTTGACTGGAAGCTGCTAGTGAGCATCTATCAGCAAAACTGGGGTCCCACATCTGTGGTCCTGGCATGGGATCATTCTTATCACAGGAAAATAGGGCATGCTGCTGGAATTAGATTAGAAGGAATAAAATATTGTTTCATGTTAGATATATACTGGAAAATGTTAACATTAGAGAAAACTATTCAGCTTCTATAACTAGACTCATACCCCAATAGATATTAACATTTGGGAAGAGCCACAGGTTGTGCAGAGGCAATAGAAATGGTCAAGTCTTGAGTGGGATGGGAGAAATTTGCTATATTAGCTTCAGTATAGCATACCAAACCAAAGCTACTCTTAAAGGAATGGAGAACTTTGGAATATAATAGATACAAAGCCAAAATTGCCCCATTCTTATCTGAGACCCACAATGAAAGTAAATCTGCACACACAAAACTTTCCATGGGAGTATTAGGGCAGAACATATTTGCTCTGCCCTAATACTTAATATTTTTGCTTCACGCTAAGACCTCCCCCTTCAGGTGGTCCTCAAAATGGAAGGAAATGCACCACTCCTTTTTGTTGTTGTTAGTTGCGAAGTCGTGTCCGACCCATCGTGACCCCATGGACAATGTTCCTCCAGGCCTTCCTGTCCTCTACCATCTTCTGGAGTCCATTTACGCTCACACCTACTGCTTCAGTGACTCCATCCAGCCACCTCATTCTCTGTCGTCCCCTTCTTCTATTGCCCTCAATCTTTCCCAGCATTAGGCTCTTCTCCAGTGAGTCCTTCCTTCTCATTAGGTGGCCAAAGTACTTGAATTTCAACTTTAGGATCTGGCCTTCTAAAGAGCAGTCAGGGTTGATCTCCTCTAGGACTGACCGGTTTGATCGCCTTGCAATCCAGGGGACTCGCAGGAGTCTTCTCCAGCACCATAGTTCAAAGGCCTCAATTCTTTGGCGCTCAGCCTTTCTTATGGTCCAACTTTCATAGGCATACATTGCAACTGGAAAAACCATGGCCTTGACTATACGTACTTTTGTTGGCAGGGTGATGTCTCTGCTTTTTAGTATGCTAAGAGTAAATCCGCACCCCAGCTAAGAAGACTTAAATTTGTAAACTACCATTACCTGCACCTGCTTAGAGTTACTGGACTCTTCCACCTGAGTTTTTTCTGCTCCATTCGAAATAGTCAACACTGCAGAGACAACATTCTCACATCCAATCTCAATTAGTTCCTTGGAATCATCATCTGGCAATCCTTCAGGGATAGTTTTGTGTTCCTTTACAGGAAAAAAAAGACATTGTATATTTAGCTAAATAGATTCAGACAGGATCAATAAGAACACAATTTAAAACGTAGCGATGTGTGGATCAATATGGGGATTTCAGTACATTTTCTGTTCAATAGTATTTAATTTAAACATATTCTTTATTCATTGCATCTGTAGCCTGGTTTTTCTTTGGGAATGTAAGATGATGTACATGGGGGGTCTCTCCTCGTTCCCTCCCAACATTCCTTTTAAATAAAATAAGCCTACTTGATTATTTGCAAGATCTGTAAACTACCCCAATCAGTGGAGATTCTGGGTAGTGCACAATAAAGCAGAATAAGATCACAAGCAGTAAGCAATAAAAACAAAACATAAAACTAAAAAAAAAAGACTCTTCTACTTCCCTGAGAATGGGGCTCTAGCACGAATGCGAAAGCTCAGAAGACTAAACCTCCCGTCCCAGTGACTGACCCAGATCAGATCCTAAAAAAAGGATACTAGTTAATGTAATTGGTGCTCATTATATTTCAAGGTCAAAGGCAAATTGAAATAGGGAGGTGTTAATGGTCTCAGAAATTGCCCAGGAGGATAGGGTCAACTGTACTTTCAGGAAACCTGTTCCACAGCATGAAGGATATAAATGAAAAGGCCAGCCACCTGGCTCACATCCCCTATACACTGCTTGGGGGGGGGGGGGTTGGTAAGAGACCCTTCCTAAATGTTTGGACCAGATGGTGGGTTTAATTCTGGCAAGGCAGTTCTTGATATTCTGTGCTATGCTATGCTGTGTCGGGTTTTGTAGATAAAATGGAAGTATAGGGTAAGAAAAAGAGATTAGCCAAAAATCAGCCAGGAGTCTGTGATCAAGTAGGAATTTGAATCTTGGTCTATGTAAAGAATAAGAAAGAGGACATTGATAGACATATGCAAGTTCTGTAGAGAGAACAATGGGGGGTGGGGGCAAACATATTTTAAGTTTCCTAGCAGACAGATAATAAGTTGGAAGCAGTTCAGATAGAAACCTCCCTAATTCACAGGAATATAAGAAAGAAGGTACAACATAATCGGACCTGCAAGATTCTGCTTTGATTATCAATTCCAATAATAGTTTTAGCTTTCCCACATGTTCCCCCCCCCCACCTTTTGCCATGGCTATAGATATGCCCTTGCATATCTCTGTCAAGGTGATCTTCCTTATTCTTTTTCCAAGGGGAAAAAAACCAATAAAGTCCAGTTGTCTTTTGAAAAGCCCCTTTTGAGACAACCATGACCTGGATGATAGAGAATCTCCGTAGACATTTAACCTTCCCGTAGAGTTGATCTCCTCATCTGATCTGTCTAGTGGGGCCGCCATCAATCTTGCAAGTCTTTTGCTGTATCTCCTCCTACTTCTTATAGCTCAGTGAATTAGGGAGGTATCTATCTACCTGAGCCACTTCCATATATTAACTTCCATATGTTAGTGCTGGAGACATGGTTTCATGCCCCACCCCACCCCACCACTCTGCTGACTGGTCTTGCACCTCTCCATTAAGATCGTCTTCCTTACTCTCTCTAGTCTTCCTTATTCTCCATGTGGTCATCCCAGAAGACAGCAGTGGTAAACTACTTCTGCATTGTTGGGGGAAAAAAATCCCCATGGACATTAAATCATTGCCAGTGACACTTAGTTCAAGGGAGACTTTACTTTACTTTTTGCTACCTAGCCCTAATTCAACCCTTGGTTCTCACAAAATATTCTGCTCTATGCTCAGTTAGGGCTAAAGCTTTCCTAGGCCACATTTAAGGCTCACAGTGATTCCCCTGTGCAGATAAGGCCAAACATTTTGGACAATTGTTTTTGTAGAATTGCAACATTTAAAAAGGAATGCTTAAAATAAACACCTTCCCAAATCAATTGTTTTTGCCAAAAAAATTAAGTGGCAAATTGGGTGTCTTAAGTCACCGCAAAATCTAAAATATTTATTTGACCTTTAAATGTTCTCCAATTATGTTAAAGGAACTGACTTGGTAGCTTCTCCCTGCATGGCAAAAAAATATCCCTCTAATCCCAGAGAAAAGGTTGTCTGCTTTTACATTATTGTTTTAATTGTGAAAGTGTTGATCTTTAAAACCAGTCTATATTTAAACGCTTTGGAAGACCTTTTGGAAAACCTGCTTATGGGTAATCCTCAACTTACAACCACAATTGGGACAGGATTCTCAGTTGTTGAATGAAGCAGTCTTTAAGCAAGATGCTCATGTTATTGCTTTGCTCAATAACTGCAATCCCAAACTCTCAGTTGTGGTCATTAAGCCATCTCCTGCACCATTAGGACAGAGTGAAAAAGGTGGGTGCCAGAGAGTTTGAGTTCCACATGGAGCTGAAATCTTCCCAATAGGCAGCTCTTTCAGCCAGCCTCCAGAGACAAGAGGCAGTCCTCTTGGCAAGGCGCAACAGCTTGCAACTTTCCTTATCTTACTGCTTTCTGGGAAAGCCAACAAAGATTGCAAATGATCATGGTGTACTTAGCAACCGGTCGTAAGTATGAAATGATTGCCAAGCATCCAGTTCTCGATCATGTGACCAAGGTGTGTAGGCAATATTTTGCAACACTTGGAAGTCCTTTACACATCACAAAGCATCCATTCCAAGGTTATTGTTATTTTGAACCATTGTTCAGCAAATGGTTGTAAATCAAGAATAACCTGTGTCAGAATAAATTCATATTTGTCATTATTATTAGTTCCAACAATGACTTGACAGTTGCAAACCAGCCTATGCTGTGGAAGCACTTAGAACTGGAGAGAGAAGAAAGAGATACAGATTGGTGGTGATTTTGCACCTCCAAAGGTGCAAATTGATTGAAGTTCTTGTGAACTTTCAATCAGCAACTTTAAATATCAAGAGCCTGGCCTGCAGCCAGAGGATATGGAGAATGCCGTGCTTAATTATGTAACTTACAGAGTTCTGTGTATAGCCACTGATAATTTCTTAAAAGCAACCACAGAAAACACTAGTCTTGTGTGAGGGCTGGATTAAAAGAAAAATCCCCCTTGATCAACCCACCATCTTATCTAATTCAGCATTCATCCCCTAATGGCCACCCAGATGTAACTTGGAAATTCTCATAGCCATTCCCCAGAAATTCTTCCTCAGAGAGTCACCATCAAGAGTGAAAACTTGGAAGCTACACGTGACAGTCACACAATGCAAATGTGATTGACATCACTCTTTCTAGTTGGGCAACTAGGCTACACTCCTCTCTGTGTAAGGCAGATCTTTCCTAGTATCAAGTTAGTTGAAGTAGTGTGTCTATTTCCTAATAAATAATGAGTGCATTGTCTCCAGAAGTTTCCTTGTGAAGGTAAAATTATTCTCAAAGCTGTCAACAACTCCCCAAAAAGCTTCCATCAAACATGCCCTCTGGAATGAGGTTTCCTCCTCCTGAAAAAGTCTGGGTGGTTCCCATCCTACTGGTGTTTTGGAGAGGCTTGAAGATCTGGCTCTTCAACCAGGCCTTTGGTTAGGATGGGTATAGCTACCTCCAAGGAGTAGATATGTGTTTTGTTGCTGCCCAGTTTTCCCATCTCTGCTTTCTGGTTTACCTTCTTTTATTGCTACATTCCTTTGTTCTTTTATAATTCTCCTGTTTTCTTATGAGCTGTCATTGGAAATCAGGTGGTGTGTACATCAATTAAACAATGTTGCAAAGTGGCAATAGGCAGACGTGAGTGTTCTTGGAGCATAGATGTCAAAAATGCCAGATGGTCATAAGAACAAGGAAATCAATTTGCATGTATGTACAGATCGACAGGCCTTCGATTACCTTGCCAAGACCACCATCATCTTTTTTTAACCATATCTGTGCTCTCATGATAGGCAAATTGAGAATAGTAGAGGAAAAAGACTTGTGAAGGAGTAACAATACTATACAAACCTTCCCAGAAGATTTCAATATCATCTTTTTCAATTCTTCCATTTCCTTATCTTTCTGTACATTACTTGAGATTAGAGAACTCAGCTGAATTTCCAGAGCTGCCACCAATTCGTCTCTTTCTACCCGCCATCTTTGAAGGTCATGGTCTTTTTCTGCCACAAGTTTTTCCTGGAGAGAAGACATGACAGATGTGTTTGGGTTCATTACGATTCTTTGTAGTTTACAAACATAAAAACAAAGTAAAATATAAAAGCCGATAAAAACAGAAACAACCACAAAACATAAAGTGCTAAATATAATGGTGACCATTCCCCAATGGCCCTTGGGAATGGTCTTTAACTGTCTTTAACTCCGGAAGGCCAACAATGAGGTGGGTGTGTCCATAGATATGATCAAAATTGTTATGATGATGGCTCTGGCAATGCAATCAAAGCTTTGACTGTTTTTCAACTGTAACATACTGCTGTGGCCACCATTTTGACTTTTTTTACCATTCCCCATGGATACCCCTGGCCAACAATGAGGGTGCTAGTGTATGCTAAATCTAATATAGAAAGGAAGATGTTGCATAACCCAGAGACTATCACAGCAAACATTGCTCAAAACCCTCACTTTCCTTCACCTTCCTTATTTGGGAAACCATTAAATAAGTGGAGGATAACTTGAGAGGGCCAACTCAAAGCAAAGGAGGCTATCTTGTAAGTACCTTGGTGCCAACAAGCATTGGGATAAAAGACATATGGGTCAAAACCAACATTTTAGATTGCATCCCAAAACTTATTGGTAACCAAAACAGTAACCTTAAAACATGACTTTTGAGCCTGGAATTCTGATTGTAAGTTGTGGCAGTCATACATCAAGGCACCATGTGACTGCTTTGCTCAATGACTACAAGCCCAGCACTCCGAATTCTGGCTGTTAAGTGATGAATGGGTCATTAAGCAGAGTGTGCCTCAGGGGATGGGGGAGGCCCTGGCATGATTTGGAGAAAGAACCTTCTGAAGGACCGCAAGAACGGCACTTGCTTGCAGGATGGTTCAATGCAGCCTTGGTAGGAAAGCCATGCCTCACATCAACTGGGCATGACTGTAAACAGAACAAACCAAAAGTAAGTGCATAAGGGTGGAGGGGCCAAGGCCTCCAGGACCCAGTTTGCTGCTGGTGAGCCAGCTGGGCAGCTGAGAGGGTGAGGAGAGAGAGGTGAGCGGTTGCAATGTCTCTGCAGCCAATCATAAGGATGGTGGGAGATTGCCAAAGGCCTGGATTTTGATCACATGACCACGAGGGCATTGCAACAGCTATCATTTTGGACAGAGGACTGTTGTAATTTTGAACAATCATGAGTATATTTTGTGTTAACTGTAATTTCTGTGTAATTTTTAAAGGCAGCCTTGCATAGAGTGTCCTGATAGAAATCCTTGGAAATTATTATGATTGGTCATATAGTCAGCCCGATGTTTAGACTATTACAGGTAGTCCTTGACTTACAACAGTTCATTTAGTGACCTTTCGAAGTAACAGTGGCACTAAAGAAGGTGGCTTAGGACCGTTTTTCACACTTACGACCCCTGAAGCATCCCCATGATCACGTGATCAAAATTCTGATGCTTGACAACTGACTAGTATTTATGACGCTTGAAGTATCTCGGTGTCATGTGATTGCCTTTTGCGACCATCTGACAAGCAAAGTCAATGGGGAAGCCAGATTCATTTAACAACGGTGTTACTAATTTAACAACTGCAGTGATTCACTTAACAACTGTGGCAAGAAAGGTTGTAAAATGTGGCTAAACTCACTTAACAACTGTCTCACTTAGCAACAGAAATTTTGGGCCTAATTGTAGTAATAAGTCAAGGACTCCCTGTATTTTTTTTTGTTGAAGGACTTTCTAGTTTTTAAAGCTACAGTGTATTATAACATGTGCATGTGTGTATGAATGTACTCTTACACACATAATTTGTCTATGCACACATGCACAATATTAAAGCACAGGATAAATTGGAAGGCATTCATTCACAAGTCTTTCTCTTGGATTTTTTCAGAGATACAAAGAAAAAGCAAAAATTCACTTACTGCTTCTGTGAGTTGCTTGGCATAATATTCTTTATCTCCAGCAAATTTTTTCATCTCCTTGTTACGGAGAGTTTCTGCTTCTTTCGCCTGAGTTATGAGGAGCGTCTTTTCTGCCAGCCACTTCCTATGATCTGTTTCATGCAGTTCTTTGCATTCCTGTTTTAAAAGGAATCAGAGTTACACCTTTTCTTCTAATGGAAGTGAAAATGCTCTAGAGGCAAAACCATTGAAATTTGAAAATCTCCACTTCCCTTCCCCAAATCCCTCAAAGCATCCTTGCCTGCCTGCCAAAAGAGTGTTTAAATATCAAATCCACCTGTGACACTGAACTCTAGCAGATGACGGCATTATAGAGCATGTTCTGCATTTGTGAGCTCTATCTTCATTTCTCTCATCTTGTTTCATGTCAATTTGAGAAACACAGACTTTATACGAAGCCAATTTTTTCATGAAAATTGTTTGTAATCAAGGAATCACAGGACTTTTCAGTCTTGACCACTATTTGGTGCCAGATCATCCCTTTTTGTCAAGGTAGGGTCAAAAGAGGTAAGATGGAACTCCAATTGTGTGATTCGAGGTTTGCAGGCCCAACATACATAGAAACAAGCAGAGCTTTGACTGCACCACTGTAGCTGCCATCCTGAATTTTTTGACCACACTGGATACCCCTGCTGTATATGCATCCATTCACGTGCATAGGGTGCATATACCGTACATTCACTCCTTTCATACTGGAAAGGGAAATAGGCTTTATTCTATCTCCCATTTATTTGCCTTGAATCAGCTTCTGTTTTCCTTCATGATCCTGCCACAGACTCAATATTCAGCTGAATAAGATTAAGGAGTGGATGTCCCGGTCCTTTTTTACCAATTCTGTTCAAAATGGTGGCTTCCTTCTTGCCAATAGCATTGGATTACAATGTTAGTACCAACCAATTAAGCCCTTCACTTCTAGAGCTGACACCATCCAAAGCAGGGGTCTTCAAACTTGACCCTTTTATGACTTGTGGACTTCAACTCCCAGAATTCCTCAGGCACGCCAAGTTTGAAGACCCCTGATCTAAAGAAATACGTTTTCCCATATATTCTACCCAAGAACCTAAGTATAGTTAGTGGGGAACTGAAATTTGCAAAAATTAGAATCATGCCGTTTTGATCATACTGTTGTAAAAATCCTTGTTTCTTCTGTCAAGACTACCAATGCCAGTTTATTAGGGGATTTTTTTGAGAAACATAAAACATCACATCATCTCCACAAGTAATTTGGCATGAAGTCTCATATTGCCACAGGAATTGATGCATTACCTCCAATTTCTCTTGCGATTCTTTTAATTGTTCGTGAAGCAAGTTTGTGTTTTTTTCATGGCCTTCATTAATGTCTTGTGACCTCAGATCATTCTTCTGCTCCTTTAGTCCATGGTATCTTTTGTCCCATTCTTTCAATTCTACAGCAAAATATGTGCATTAGCAACATGACATACAATTGCAAGAGACCAAATGAATCCCATTAGCAGCAACTGAAGACAGTCACAATTTGCATACAAAGATTACAGCAGGGATCTTCAAACTTGGCCCTTAGTTGACTTGTGGACTTCAACTCCCAGAATTCCTCAGCCAGGCACGCTGAGGAATTCTGGAAGTTGAAGTCCACAAGTCATAAAAGGGCCAGGTTTGAAGACCCCTGGACTACAGAATTCAAGGAACTGGTACAAGTTGAAACTTCAGATGATCAAGAGAGACTGGATTGGTCAAATTTCCTGCCCTGTGAAACCAAGGGTGCAACTTTCATGATTAAATTCTCCTGCAAAGTGCAGATATATCTATATAGGTAGTCCTCGACTTACGACCACAATTGAGCCCAACATTTCTCTTGCTAAGTGAGACATTTGTTGTGAGTTTTGGCCAATTTTACGACCTTTCTTGCCACAGTTGTTAAGTGAATCACTGCAGTTGATAAGTTAGTAAACCGGTGAATCTGGCTTCCCCATTGACTTTGCTTGTCAGAAGGGGGGGGGGCTGAGAGGGAGAGTGACTGGCCCAAAGGTGGGACTAGGTCAGCACCTTAACCACCGCACCAAACTGCCTATCCCAGAACACCAAATTGGCTCTAATATTATTATTATGGTTTATTTCACAGTCAGCCAGATGTTTAGACTGGATTTTGCATTCTTATCTTCCTACTGAATCCTTCCCAAGGTCCTGGGATAGGTAGGTATTGTTTGATCATGTTAAAGGTATCATCAGAGGATTAACTTACTTATACTGTAGTATCCTTACTATAATATTATAATAATAAAAACGCTTGGATGGCATTTAGAAAAAAATCTTAACTGTTGGGTTTTTTTTGCACCCCACCCAAGTCCGCTTGAGTTGACTGGCCATTAAATTTAAAATAATCAAAATCACCATCATTTGCAAAAGCAAAAGCAGCTTTATTTGGAATAGATTACATCCTACAACAATGCCTTTAACTCCATCAAACAGCAACATCCCCCTCTCCCAGGTCATTAGGAAGGACTCTATAGGTGGATAAAAATGTCAAATCCAGTCTAAATATCTGGCTGACTATGCGACCACCTATAAAAACAATTCGAACCTGGCCATTTCTGCCTTGAGTGAGAACTCTTTGCTCGATAGTGCACTGATTTGTTTTCTTGCCTTATCCATGGTATTCTCAGGAGTTTTCTTCAATGCAAAAGTTTAAGGATGCCAATATTCTTTTTATCCTGATTCAAATAGAAGTAAATATGTAAGTTTCTGTCTCTCCAGAAAATTCCAAGGATAGAGCCCTGTTAAGATGTTACAAGCAAAAACAATCGTGTAACATTTTTCATAGATGAAAAACATCTTTAGGACAAACATATTTCATTTAGCTGGCTGGCATGCCTATTTAGTAGTCTTCGTTTAGCAACTGCCTTGATTAGCAATTGTTTGCAGCTACAACAGTGAGAAGGTCGCAAAAGGTGATCCCATGACCTTGGGACCCAGCAACGGTCATAAATACGAACCAGTTGCCAAGCGTCTGAATTGTGATCACGTGATCATGGGGGTGCTGCAAAGGTCGTAACTGTGAAAAATGGTCATTAGTCATTTTTTTCAGTGCCCTTGTAACTTTGAACAGTCACTAAATGAACTATTGTAAGTCAAAGACTGCCTGTAGTTGAAATCTACATCTCAGCTTCAACCGGCCACCTGGCATTTGTGTAAGGGAGCAGAAGGGATAATGTGAATCATCCTCCATTGTAGCTTACCTGCTTTACATTTTTCATTCTCTTCTAACGTGGCCTGAAGCATTTGCTCTTGTTCAGACTGAGTCTGTTCTTGTTCCTCTAAAGTCAGTCTCATGTCTTCAATGATTTTCTCTTTGCAACGTACATCTAAAGTTTGAAATAAAAATGGCTACTCTGTAAACCTTCTTTGCAATCCTTCCATGAAATGAATTCATTCAGGAGCAGGGAGATGCAGCTCTTCCTATAGACCTCAGGACCATTTTTCTAACCCAAGTGATTCCCCGCTTCAGCTTCTGCTATAGGCAGAAAGGAAGCATGCTAGTGGGAGGAGCAGGGATTTTACTGATATAGTACTTCATATCAATACATATAGGTTAACAAAATTATAAAATCCAGGGGGAATAAGAAGCAGAAACATTTAGAAGCATGCACACGTGCACCCCACACACATTCTCATTATCTCTCTGTCTCCTTCCTAGTTGTTACAATACCTTCACGTGATTTCTGGTACTGCTGTGACAGGTCCTCCAGCTTCTTACTCAGATCATCCTGATTTGGACACAGAAATAAAAACACCAGACAGAGACATTAAACTTTTTGTAAAAAAAAAAAAAAAATACCATAAAAACTGGGTAATTCTAAAATCAGAATTGCCTATGTTCAGTTGCAGGTAGCAGTCTTAAATACACATAGTAGTAACCCACATTAAATTCGGACTGTCTTTGAGTGGATCTCTCTGGACCTTCACTGTCTTGGCACGCAAAGCACTGGCTGTCTTCACTAGGAGATTCACATGCAAAGACTGACTGCACTCCAAGGGCCATCTTACGCCGGTCATCGTTAACCCCCCTCCATAATGTTACCAAGATCAAAATATTCTGTGGCACCTTCTTAAATTGCTGGATCGTCCTCTGCTTGAGATCTAGTTCTTCAGTTAGCTGGCCTTTGGCCTTCTCAAGTTCATTAACTTTGCTCCGCAGCAATTTCTCTTCAGCACGCATGGTGCTCACCTGTAAAAAGATTCAATGGGGGTACATTATAACTAGTTGGAGAATGCTACTTTTTCCACATATCTGGGTTACAATTTGAAATACAGAGAAGGAGGACAAATCAAGCATCAATGTGAGCAGACAGATGACTTCCAGCAGGAACATCTGTCCTCTTTTGAAAGCAGAACAAATGGAGCTTCTAATAGCTGAGAGGAAAGAAGACCTTGATCTGGACTAACTGCAAGAAAAAAAGGAAAGAGCCAGAAAAATCTGGAAGTTAATGATAGTTCTGTTACACCAGTGGGGATGGAAATTCCCCAGTGATGCTGGCCTAAACAGGCTTTGAACAAAATCCAAACAAAAGATATCCACCACCACCAACAAACCTTCAAAAGAGGTTCTCAACTGATGACCATAGAAGGCCAATCTGTTTAGTTTCTTCCTGGAATGCAGCAATTTAACCTGATTTTACATCTTCAAGCATGACTAATCAAATTAAGAGTACAGGTAGTCCTCGACTTACGACCAAAATTGAGCCCAAAATTTCTGTTGCTAAGCGAAATATTTGTTAAATGAACTTTGCCCCATTTTACAATAATTAAGTAACACCGTTTTTAATTGAATCTGACCTCCCCATTGATTTTGCAGGTCAGATGGTCGCAAAAGATGATCACATAACGCTGAGACACTGCAACTGTCATAAATAGGAGTCAGTTGTCAAGTGTCTGAATTTAGATCATGTGACCATGGGGATGCTGCAACGGTCGTAAGTGTGAAAACTGGCCATAAGTCACTTTTATGAACCAGTCGCCAAGCTGTAACGATTGCAAGTGTGAAAAATGATCATAAGTCACTTTTTTCAGTGCTGTTGTAACTTTGGACGGTCACTAAATGAACTGTTGTAAGTCGAGAACTACCTGTAAGTGCAGAAAACAAAAGAAGAGTTGCATACAGAATGACGGAAAAAGAATTTTTTTCCCTCTTACAGACCTGTTTTTGAACTTGTTCGATTTGCTTTTTCGTATCAGCCAACTTCTCCTTCAGATCTGCATATTCTTCATCTTTCTGCTGGATTTCTGCTTGCAGATGGGAAGAGAGATCAGTACTCTTTAATAGCTCTTCTTTCAATCTGAAAGAGAAACAAAGAACACCCGTGCACGCGAGTGCAAGAAAGAGAGAATGAACTCTTTTAGGAATAACCCCCTAAGCTGCAGAGTTCTAGTTTAACAAATCAGGAATAGAATAGAGCCAGTGGTGGTATTCAGCCGGTTCGCACCCCTTCGACAGAACTGGTAGCTAATTTTGTTCTTCTCAGATAGGAACAAGCAATTATTTGTGCCTTTAATTTTTCAGTTTGGTCTTTGCCTCCAAGAGCCCCAGGACATATGGGGCCCACTCCAGTATCACTGACTCGTGGCAACCAGTGTTATTTGAATGGGCCCAAAATGTTAATCTCCAATTTTATGAGTTCTGTTAGTTATGTTCACAGGGGTTATAAAAGAAATAGACAGGAGAAACGTAACACACCTATCTGGTATTTGATCAGAACAAAGAAATAATGTCATTTAGGGGGAACTCAGAGAAAACCAAAAGGGGTCAAAAGCTATATGCAGACTATCTATGAGGCATTAGTTCAGGGGTCTTCAAACTAGGCCCTTTTATGACTTGTGGACTTCAACTCCCAGAATTCCTCAGCCAGGCATGCTGGCTGAGGAATTCTGGGAGTTGAAGTCCACAAGTCATAAAAGGGCCAAGTTTGAAGACCCCTGCATTAGTTACACTAAAGCTATGATAGACTATCAACCATGGGTAACAATTGTTAGAAAAAACACTCTAAGGACACTAATTTAGGTTTCTAGAGAAATCTTCTATTTTTCTCTTTCACAAACACAACCGCTTTTGGATTCCAAGCAATTTTATATGGGAAGTCCAGCCAAATCAGCCAAATGTGCAATTTTTGTTATCACTACTTGTGTTCTATGTAGTTCCATGGAGATCTTCTTGCACATTTGATGCCTTTCCAGACAGGTCTGAACAGATTCCTATTGAGAAACAGCCTCTCTAAAATTGCCTAAGCTGTTCAGGGATTTAAAAGTTAAAACTAGCATCTTAAATTATGCAGATACAACAACTAGCAACCTGTAGATCAGAGGTCTTCAAACTTGGCCCTTTTATGACTTGTGGACTTCAACTCCCAGAATTCCTCAGCCAGCGTGCCTGGCTCAGGAATTCTGGGAGTTGAAGTCCACAAGTCATAAAAGAGGCAAGTTTGAAGACCCCTGCTGTAGATCTTTTAACGTGGACTGTACCTTAGCACCTAGCTGCTGCAATTTGCATTAATTGAAGCTTCTAGACAATGGCCAGAAGCAGAGTGCATTAATTTTCTCTTCTAAATACATACATCCTCCCCCATTCAAGATGTGACAGATTGATCTCTTTTTCCAGACTAAAGAACATGACATTTATCTGTTAAATATCATTATTATTTTCAACTTATTTCTCTAATCTAGCAAGATCTTAACTCTATTTCGTTCCTGTCCTGTAAGGCACTAGCTATTCCTGAAGAAGAGCTTTATGCCTTCTTCAGATCTGGTAGACATCCCCTCGCTTCATCATTCAATCATTTAGCAAAAATATTTAATATTAAAAGCCAAAATTTTGGTTTCCTATCTCATGTGGTCTTTTCACATTTGAATCTTCTTTACATTTATCTGACCTACAAGTATTCTTACTTGGAAGGACAAGAGTTACCACTATCTTCAAAAGGGGGGGGGGAAACAACTTCCGGTTTGCTATCACAGCTGCCACCAGAAGACGAGCTCCCTCTTCTGCGTTTGGTTTCGCTCCACTGGGAGACCCTGGAAAGGGTCGAGAGTCGCCCTGTAGGGGTGACAAGCAAGGAGGGGACCCCCGCTTGATAGCGGGAGAGTGGTAGCCCTTCTGCTCGATCCGGGGCAGCCCTCCAAACCGGTGGACAAAAGATCAGCCATAGAAATATGGCTCATCACTAGGCTCTTCTTCTTCTTCTTGTGCCATATCCGTTATCGGACGCTGGCAATCATGTTGGCGATCCTGTTTTTATCAGCAGCTGCACGAAAAAGTGCTGCTGAATTTTGTCTGAACCAGTCCCTTAGATTTTGAAGCCACGATGTTCTTCTTCTGCCTGGACCTCGTTTGCCTTCAATCTTTCCCTGGAGGATTAAATGGAGTATGCTGTATTTTTCTGGCTGTCACATCACATGTCCAAAATATTCTAATTTTCGTTTTTTAATTGTTTTGATGATTTCCCTTGGCTTTCCCAGGCAGCTTATCACCTCATTTCTGATATTGTCAACCCAGCTTATACGTAACAGCCGCCTGTAAATCCACATTTCAAATGTTTCTAGTCTCTTCAGGTGGCCTTCTGTCAGAGACCAACTCTCTACTCCATAGAGCAGGATAGAAAAAATATAGCATCTGACAAGCCTGATTTTCAGTCTTAGGCTAATGTCGTGACTGCAGAAGACCTTTTTCATTTTGAAGAATGCTGTTCGAGCTTTTTCTATCCTTGTCTTTACTTCAACGGTCATGTTCCAGCTTTCATGTAAATTGGAACCGAGGTGTGTGATCCTTTCAACTTTTTCTAGTGGTATTCCTTCTGAATTTATTGGTGGTAAATTAACGGGTTGAATTGAATTGAATTGAATTTATTATATATTTATACCCCGCCCTTCTCCCGGAGGACTCAGGGCGGCTTACAGCCAGTTTAAAAACAGTTTGATACAAATACAAAATATAAAATTTAAGAGAATAATTGTTTGCTGACGACCATGATCTTGGTTTTTGAGGTGTTAAGCTTCAAGCCGTATTTTTCAGATATTTCTGTGACTCTGTTGATGAGGAGCTGAAGGTCTTCATGCTTACTGGCAAGCAGAACTGTATTGTCAGCATATCTTAAGTTGTTGATCCAAACACTGTTTACTTTGATGCCAGCATCAATGTTCTCCAGTGCCTCGTTGAAGATTGACTCAGAGTAGATATTGAACAACAGTGGAGACAGAATACATCCCTGTCTGACCCCTCTTCTTATTTCTACATCAGCTGAGTATTTTTGGCCTAGTCTCACATTTGCTACCTGATGCAATACAGATTCTTTATTATTTGGATGTCTTTGTCATCTAGTCCCCTTTGTCTCAGGATTTCTAATAGTTTGCTGTGTCTTATTTTATCAAAAGCTTTTTCAAAATCAATGAAGCACATGTAAACACTGTGATTGACATCTCTACAACGCTGTGCAAGAACCTGAAAGCTGAACAGTGCATCTCGTGTACCAAGATTGTATCTGAAACCAAATTGTGTGTTACTCTTCAATTTTGTTGTATATTCTTGTGTGAATTATTCTCAGGAATATTTTCAGGGTATGACTCATTAAGCTTATTGTTCTGTATTCGGTACACGTCTTTGCATTTATTTTTGGGGGGATTGTCACAAAGGTTGATTTTAGCCAATCATTTGGTATTTTTCCTGTTTCATATATCTGATTGAAGAGCTGCAGTAAAAAATTCTTCCCATTGTCTTCCAGCAATTTTAAAATTTCTGTGATATCATCGGATCCTGTGGCTTTTCTTGTTTTTGCTATTTTTATTGCATGTTCAACCTCTTCCATAGTGATATTTGGTCCAGTTGTTATACTTCCCATATCTATATCATCCCTCGTCACTAGGCTGCGGACAGCCAAAGTCAAACTTACCACCAGACACTTCTAAAGCAGCACGGATGAGACTACGTGAGATCTGAACCTCTCTTCAATCCTAAGTATTTTCTTCTCCTGTAAAAGCTGCCCAAAGTATCTTTCCCCCTGTGAGGAGAGAGGGAAGGGAACTTCTATCCCACCCTCTAAGAATAGCGGCGACTGACTATCCAGGGGAGTTAAAACACTGAAAGAATAACCTTAATCTAACTGCATTTATATGCTTCCAAAATCTGGGGACCAAAAGATTTCTTATCTTTACTGAAGACTTTGGTTTTTATTTAAAAAGAAAATTGGAAAAAGGATTATAAAAATTTTGGACTTAAAAAATCTTAAACGACATTGGTGACATCTTGTGGCCAGGTTTGATATTACAACTTGTTATTGTCTAAAGGAGACTTGGCTGGAAGCCCAGACTACAGATAAGACTTTTTCAACCTTGACAAATAGCAGCTGTGAGAAGCTCAGCTGTGTACTATACCCAGTTATAAAATTATTTTCATTCTCTGACTTTAAAGCTCTTAATTTAACACACTACTAAGAGAATATGGATGAAGACCAGGAACAGATTCTCCTTATGTTAAAAGCAATACATGAAACTATTCTTTCAGCTTGTGATGAAATAAAATGCTACAGAAAAGAACAAGATGTCAGCCTAGATACACTAACCCAAATTTTGACTATAATTAAAGAATCAACTACACAGAAGATAACAGAAGAAGTAGAATAATTAAATATTATGATAGAGGATTCACCTGACCAACAAACACAGTCAATGGAAAATCCAGAAAAGGGACTGACAACACTGAAAATGGAAAAGACTTTCTATATAAACCAGAAGAAATTTGAGGAGCAAGAAGAACAGATCGAAGGGAAGACAAACGTATCAGGACAACTATGGGGATCTGGAATAATAGAGAGACAATTCACTAGCCCTTCCCAAAAAAATTGCGATTGGATGGTCTCTTTTATTTCAAATAATATATATAACAACAGAGGGAGATCTATTTGATGACTTAAAAGCACTGACATGGAAGGCGAGCTGGCAAAGGAAGAAAGCCAGAATAAGGCTGAAGAAAATTGGGGTTTTGATTTATTAGAGAGGATTTTATATTACTAATTAAAATAGAATATACTCAAATTGACAAGATATGTATTTTGAATACTAGATTTTGTTATGAATTGAGATAAAGAAAATTTTGGTCACTTAAAACTTGGAAGTATAAATATTAAAAGTTAAATTTGAATATTGGTAGGAAATTAAAAATTGAGGAAAACAAATAAATAGGATATTGATTGTCTATAAAGATTGAATGTAAAAGTAATTAAGATATGTATAAGCTAAAAATTTATTGATAAATGTAATAAACATGTTTTTACTTAGTTGATATAATAAGAAC